GTATGTTATTGCTATTTATCACGAACGCATTAATCGAACAATTCCTATTAATGTTAGATAGTGTCTCTGCTACTGTCATTATAACTAAAAAAGATGAGGGGGTCGTACAGATTAGTTTATGGTAAATAAGGAGGCCAAGTAGGGCCAGTAGGATTTGTATATGCGTGCCAAATGATCTGAAAGATCACGAGACATGTCGTGCTGGTCCGTGGAACGTATAAAACGGATCAATACTGTTCCCTCAAAAATGATGTTTGAGTAAGGAACCAACTTTAGATTTCCAATTGATTATTTGAAAACGAAATAATGGTAAAATTACCTATCTAATAATGGTTTAATTTCTGATGTAAACGATTAGTTCGATTGACGCCATATTCTATGTAAATTCCCGTAAAATGTAGCCGCCAAAGAAGAAAGCACAATTACAGAAAATAGAGAAAGCCGATTGGAAGGAAGGCTTCAAAAAGAAGCAAGTCGGCGTGGCTGACATGACTATGTTGAGCAAAGTCAACAACGATTCCATAAACGAAAATTTGAGGAAAAGATTCGAGAACGGAGAAATTTATGTATGTTTGACCGAGAAAGCTAATATTATCAAGTATTTGGTTGGATCACTCTATGTGTCTGCTTACTCTGGATTTCTTATTAAACAGACTTACATCGGCCATGTATTGATCAGTGTTAATCCGTTCAGAGATCTTGGCATTTACACGGATGAAGTGTTAAACAGCTACACAGGAAAGAATAGACTAGAGGTGGGCTAACAGAATATAATTATCATCAACCAGTAAAAGAGATCATAATATTCGTTAAAGATAGGAGACGTATTATCGGATAAAGTTGTATATTGTTAATTGACGGTATTCATCCCAGATGCCTCCCCATGTATATGCTGTGGCAGAATCGTCATACTATCATATGAACAGCTACAAAGAGAACCAATGTATCATCATAAGGTAACGTTCATTTGGAAATCCGCAATGCATTTTTAACAACTATTAACATACGATTATTTATATGTAAATTCGTTTATCGTTAAAAGTGGCGAATCAGGAGCTGGCAAAACAGGTTAGTTTAATGATCGAGATGTATATCAATAATTTTTTCGAATGACTTGCTGAAATCAATTCCGTTAATTGCAGAGGCTGCCAAAAGGGTAATTCTACACATACGATGTCAAACTTTTTGAAATGCTCTCATATTAAAAAAAATCGTCATTATTGTGTGCTTTTCGGTAGATTATGCAATATATTGCTACAGTCAGTGGCAGTGGGTCATCAGCTATCAAAGAGATCAAAGACATGGTTTTAGCCACCAATCCCTTACTTGAGAGTTTTGGCTGCGCAAAGACACTAAGAAATAACAATTCATCACGCCATGTGAGTGCATACAAAAGTGTATAAAAAAAATAAGCACTACTGTAGTTGAGTTTTTACTTAAAGTTTCTCATTTGCTAGGGTAAATACTTGGAAATCTTGTTTAATTCCAACGGCGAGCCAGTCGGGGCCAAGATCACCAACTATCTACTGGAGAAGGTATTATACGGTTATTCGATGAATGTAACTAATAAGACATGAATATTCTATATACTGATTTATTGTTTACTCTAGGGTCGTGTTGTGGGTCAGATAGAAAATGAAAGAAACTTTCACATATTTTATCAATTCACCAAGGCTGCTTCTCCCGAGTATCAAGGTATGCACGCAATTTTGTCCAGCGTTCTGCTTGCATGTCTATTAAAACATATTATGTTATTACAGAAAAATTTGGAATACAGGGTCCAGAGAGTTATCTGTATACAAACGGTAGTGGCTGTTTAGATGTCCAGGGGATTGATGATGTCGAGGATTTTTCAGAGACTCTGGTAATTGAATTGAACGTATCACTTTGGTCGTCTAGATCGCGTAACTTAACAATATCAAATGTAGAATTCAATGAATATTATTGGCCTCTCGCAAGAAGAACAGGACGGTATATTTGCAATGTTGGCTATAATATTGTGGCTTGGCAATGTACAATTTACAGAAGGCGAGGACCAAAACTCGGCCGTCGTTGACGATGAGAACGGTAATTGGTAGTATGTGCCCACCTTTTGAAATGTGACAATGTACTAAACAAGAACCAACATATATTATAGTTACAAGCTTTATTGCTTACATCATGGAAGTTGATGCTGATACTGTCAACAAGGTAATACCCGTATGAATAGTTAATATATATACCTCTGTATCTATGCTAATACTGAATATGCTAATATTGAATGTAGGTTCTTACTAATCGAACTATTGAGACCCAACGCGGAGGACGTAGAGGATCTGTGTATGACGTTCCACTCAATCCCGTACAGGTGAGTATCTTAATTCACTATTTAATGCTATGGATTAAAATATTAACCCATCCCTGCTTACCAAACAGGCTGCAGCAGTAAGAGATGCTTTAGCTAAAGCAATCTACAATAACCTCTTTGAATGGATAGTGGAGCGCATTAACAGCGCCATGCGCGAACGCTCCAAATCATCATACGTGATTGGTGTACTCGATATCTATGGCTTTGAAATATTCGACGAGAATTCGTTTGAACAACTGTGCATCAACTATGTAAATGAAAAACTTCAGCAAATTTTCATCGAACTCACTCTTAAAACAGAACAAGAAGAGTATGTTAAAGAAAAAATCAAGTGGACTCCAATCGACTTTTTCAATAATAAGATAGTCTGCGACTTGATCGAAGAGAAACGACCACCCGGCATCTTTGCTGCTATGAATGATGCATGTGCGACCGCTCACGCTGATCCGGGTGCTGCGGATAATTCTTTTGTTCAAAGACTGGGTTCCCTAAGTTCCAACCCTCATTTCGAGTCACGCGGCGCTAAATTTTTGATTAAACACTATGCTGGCGAAGTATTATATACTATATCGGGAATGACGGACAAGAACAAGGATCAACTTGTGAAGGATTTATTGGAACTGATTGCATCCAGCAGCAATGCATTTTTACAGACGCTGTTTCCCAATAAGGTGGATCGCGACTCGAAAAAAAGACCACCAACAGCCAGCGACAAGATTAAGGTTTGATATTTATGGTTACACTCATTGACAGACATGTTATTGATATTCGATTATTAACGGCGAATATAATATATTAATTATTTGTAGTCATCAGCAAATGATCTCGTCACAAACTTAATGCAGGCACAACCATCGTATATTCGTACTATCAAGCCCAATCATAACAAGAGCCCTAAAGAATATGATCAGAAAGTTGTACTTCATCAGATCAAGTATCTTGGTTTAAATGAAAATATTAGAGTTCGTCGTGCTGGCTTTGCTTATCGACAGACTTTTGAAAAATTCTTGGAAAGGTAGTTATGTCGATAAGTTAATCTCTCACTGATCAGCCACATCAAGTGCATCGCATTGCTTGCTCGTTTATACACCGTTTGAGTTAAATTAACATACGTTTGCGTTCTCAATGACCAGGTTTTATTTGCTGTCTCGGTCAACTTCTTATGCTGGCGAATATACATGGCAAGGAGACGGCAAATCGGGTTCCGAACGTATACTCAAAGACTGTGGCATCGCTAAAGAGGAATGGCAGATGGGTGTTACGAAAGCTTTTATTAGGCATCCGGAGACGGTAAGTGAAATAATTTAATATTATCCACTGTTATCGTTTACTCACCTTATCGCTGTCCTTTTCTGTTAGTTCTACACATCCTGATTAATTAAAAATTATATATATATAAATTTTTTTTTCCTCGACAATTCAAATTTAGATCTGGGCCCTCGAACATCTTCGCGATCGCTTCTGGCACAACATGGCCATGCGTATCCAGCGTGCTTATCGCAGTTATGTTCGTTACAAAAACGAATGTGCAACACGAATTCAAAGATGTTGGAAGAAAAACAAAGATCAAATTATATACCTACAACTTCGTGACTACGGTCATCAAGTACTTGCCAATCGAAAGGAAAGAAGAAGATTTAGTTTACTAAGCATGAGAAAATTTATGGGAGATTATTTGTCTGTTGGAAAGCCGGGTGGTAGTGGAGACTTTTTGAGAAATGCTTGTAATCTTAGAGGTACGATTTGTTGTAATACGATAGTGATTGTGTTAAATTCGGAAATACGTTTAACGATCAATATTTTGTTTATCAGACAATGAGCAGGTTGCCTTCAGTGCAAAAATCCAATTATTGGTTCCTCGTCTTGGTAGGTCCAGTAAGCCAGGTCCTCGCCACCTCGTGATGGTAAGTTCTAGATTTACAAGATTTGTAATTATGATTTTAGGACAATTCTTGTACATATTCTGAATCTAAATTCACTCCTTTATCGACTTTCAACAGACGGACAAATCAATCCTTATTGTAATCTCGACGCTCGAAAAGAAGCTCCTGACAATGTCCATAGAACGTTCAATTTCGCTAAACGCCATTAGTGGCGTAAGCCTCTCGAATCTTCGTGACGATTGGGTAGTATTGCACATTAATAATCCAACTAAAGAAACCGGAGACCCAGTCTTCTCGTGCTTCTTTAAAACGGAATTTGTAGTTCATCTTCTTCAGCGCACTGGTGGTCGTATAAGTGTCAATGTATCATCTCAAATAGAATATGCTAGGAAATTAGGCAAGACTGCAACAATCAAATTTACAAAAGACGAAACTGTAAAGAAGAATGATTTCTATAAGAGCCACACAGTTTCAGTCTGTTCCGGCTCGCCGCCGGATAGTGTTTCTGACCCCCCCTGCCCAAGAAAAGAGTCAACTCGACCAGTTACTTCTAAAAGAACAAAGAAACCCCCTTCATCCGGGCCAACAAGGAGAACGACCAAACCGCCGGCTTCGAATTCTACAAAAAGAGATCTGCCGCCGCCTCCACCTCCATCTGCTTCTTCTGCTCCTCCCCCTCCCCCTCCCCCTCCGCCAAAAAATCCTACGTACAAGGGTATTTATGACTTTTCATCGCAAGAGCAAGGAGAACTACCATTTAGGAAAGATGACATATTGGAAATTGTCAAGAAAGAGACTGATGGTGTCGACAACGGATGGTGGCTAGCACGCAAAGATGGCAAGGAAGGCTGGGTGCCAAGTAATTATCTTGAAGAAGTTGAAACGCCTAAACCCGCACCAGCCCCTCCTCTGCCGACCAAACGACCATCACCACCCGCTGCCGACAAAACTTCGCCTCCGAAACCGCCCTCCTCTTTCAACAGTTCTAACACAGCACCCGTTCCTGTCATGCCTGGACTGGCTCCGGCCACCGGAGGTGTTCCTAAATGGAAACAAGATCTGGAAGCCAGAAAAGCTGCCAAGGCCGCTGGTGGAAAAGAAATTCCAGGCGCATCTGCATCTCGTCCAACTCCGGTTGCTCCGCCAAAGCCCGCTACTGGTAAGCCTTCATTATTCTAATTTTAAAAGTTGGATTTGGTGGAAAGTAACATTGAGATGTGATATACAAACTGCGGTTTTAGGTGCTCGAAAACCTCCAATTGCGCCCAAGAAGCCTGGGGTTGTTCCAAAACCTGCTGCTCCGCGAAAACCTGGTGTTGGTACAAAGGTACACAGTTTTGCTTATTATTGTTGTTGTCATTGTCATACATGACCTTCAATGCTAATTAATTTATGATAATTGTAGCCGCCAGTCGCTCCGCCACGACCGGGAGCCGCGAGTATTGCTGATGCGGTGAGTTATAGTTCCGACAGTAACACGTTTCTGATTTTACCGTGATTTTCTGATGCTTAATGGTGTCTTCCTTATAGATCAAGGCACGTAGTCGAATGCAGAATCCACCCGAGGATAATGATGATGATGAGTGGAACTAGATTGCAAAAGGTTAAAATAGACAACCCAAACACATCTCTTAAATTATTAATCGAGCACTTATTAAATAATATTAGAATTACTTCATTTTATTTATGATTCTATACATTATAGATTCAAATTCATCTCATCTATAAATTACTCATTCTCAAAATTGTCATGGATTCGAACTTTATTTTTAATCAAGATTTTTCATTATACGGATCACCAACGATGCTCTCAAAGATATCTCGACACGATATGACTGCCCTTAATTTAGTACAAAGTAAGAATGCTCCCGATAGTTTTCTGTGTAGACTATAAGTTTCTTCAGGTGGTGGTGTCAATCTGTATTTGAGCATAGTAGGAATTAGATCCCGTATCCGTGCCGTCACCGTTTGTGTAGAGAAATCATACAACGGCCGAGTAAATGGCTCGCCTAGAGTCAATATTGAACCGATATGGGCTTGTCGCATCGTCTATTTTTATCAATTAGGTAATCTATTGAGCTTCATCTCAAACGGAAGACAGAAATAAAGTGATATCACTGATAATATAGACGACAAGAATGTTTCTCTTACACTTGTTTCATATCCAGTCAAGAATCCCATTTCCATCGAGTAATGTATGCAGGCCTCTTCATCTGAACGCACCGCAGCTTTTAGTGTCTCTTGATAGAGATTTACAAATTTATCATCGAACCCGCGACTTGCTCCAAAGTCTAATAATTCAATCTGTAGTAGATGAATGGATCTTTATTAGAATGTCATAATCATTTAACCATGTTCAGATATATTCTTGGCATTACCTTTTGCGTTGAGATATTGTAAAGGAAGTTTGTCCAGTTTGGGTCAGTTTGCATAAATCGAAATTCAAACAACTCGCGTAAACACAGTCTAAGTATGTTAGCACCTATCTATCATAAAAGAGACGCGAATAAATATACATTTCAGACAATCGAGTACAAACACATTCTAATCACCTTGTTTCTAGTCTCTTGATCATACGATTCGACCTTATTCAAAGGCTCCCCAATCATCCTCTGATAAGTCATCACCATCCCGGTTGTTAAATCATCGACAACCGTCGGGACAACGAAATCAGTGTCATCCTTTAGCAACTCGCCAAATTTTTTCATACACTCGGCCTCTCTTTTGTAATCGGTCTCCCATGCCAACTCCTTCTTTGCCACTCTTATAGTATTGTCAAGATATAGACCCTTTGGAAGAAGATCACTGACCAGTAATATACCGCGTAAATTGTCCAGATCGGACGAAATTGCATCAACCACTCCAGGATACTGCACTTTGACAGTTACGGGCATTCCGTTGCTGGCGAGTTCAGCAAAATGTACTTGACCGATTGACGCGGCTGCCGTTGGTATTCGCTCGAATATACGGAAATTGTCGCGCCAGTTGGTGCCGAGTTCTTGTTTCATGACTTTCTGGGATGGAAGCAATTGTAATATTTAATATCTCAAGAATTAGAAATCAACATTCGTGTATTTGATATGATGTTGTAATCAAGATCATAAATAACCTCTAATTGCCAACTAGGCATACGATTCGCGTTATTCTGAACTTTCAGTAGGACTTGTCTTAACTGTGGTGGAACTACATCATTCTCTAAAGACAACAAACGAACGTTAATAGGATAACCCCCTCTCCTCCATCTCCCATTGCTCCTCGTTTTACGACAAATATTATGTACCCTGAATACTAATTATTTGCCCGAGTTTCATGGCTGCTCCACGCATATGCGACAACTTGTTAACAAGCAAATCAACATTTGATTCACTCATTAGCAATGATGAATTTGATTCTGACGTATCTGTATTTGTCGCTCGTCTAACAGCCTCATTCACAGCTCCAATGCCTAAACCAACAGCCAAGCCTAATAATAAAAAAGATAAATTTGGATGTAGCATGCAATCTAAAAAAAAGAGTGAAAGGCAGGAAATACTGGCCTTATTCTTTTACCTCCGAATTGAAGCAATCGACCTATACGAGTGGATGGCACCTTTGATTCGTTGGACATCTTTACGAAAGAAGAATTTGAAGTGAAGAATGCAGATCATGGATCGTGATTAATTTAATGCAGTAATGCCTAAACTTGACGCATAGCACAACGTCCCATTTGATTTTTGGAGAACAAGAAACATTTGGGACGTGAATAGCCTGAGGATTAACCGAATTGAGCAAAGCAAATGAGCAAAACGTATTAATATCTATTCCGTTGGGTATGACATTTTTTTAGAGCGGATGCTAGAAACTTTCAATTCGGCTTTTCAGTAGTTTCATTTATATCACTTCCATCAACTCCATATTTTAAACTTTTGGATTCCAATACTTAATTAATTAAAGCTTTCCATTGGGGAAAGTTTGTTTATCGTTTTGCTTTGAATTAATATTTTTAAAACATTATCTAATTTGCGTTTATACCTTTAAATTAGTTAATTCATTTCAAGCTCCAATACTATTTGTAATCATGGGTCATATATAAAAGGTCGGAAAAAATATTGTATGTGTCCGGACTTGTCAGCAGGTGGCATACTAATAACTAGTTCATACTAATACACGCGAACTCTAACATCTACATCGGCTAATTTTATTTCGTAACGAATTTGGCATACAGCATACAGCATACAATACACACGAGATTTTTATCCTACTGGAATAATTTTATCTAAATCGATGCCTTTTTTAGTCCAAGAAAATTTAAAGACTTGCCTTATTCGATCATACGTTCAAGTGACACATCCCAGACTTTGTTTCACTTCCTGTCTATCACGCGTTTTATGCGATCTCTGTTAATGACAAACTCGGACGACGACTATTTCAAAAAGAAAAAAAACCAACTTATCCAAGCCCAATCTTAAAACTATAGCCGCTTTCCCTGAATCTTGGACGTATAGTACTCACATTACTAGATTGCCATCTTTTTAAACCATAATCGATGTGGGATAAAAAGAAAATTATCAGATTGACAGAACAATCTATTGTTTTTGATCTGGGGAAAATAATATGCATTGCACACAAAAAACTGTCTAGATGAACTTATCGGTTTCATCCGTACAAGATCAGGGGACGAAGCATCCTTACCGGTACCAGGTCATATCGGATACATTTCTGTTCTGTTCTCTCACCAGACGAGACCTACCTCTTGGTCCATCTACACACGATTCAATATATCACACCGCCATCCAATTTTTTTTTTCAATCATACATTCGAATTCAGGATTAAGCAGCACATAAGTAGTCAAGAAGATGACGATAGAAGGGTGTATTACAAAATTAAGGTATATGAAATCGCAGGCAAGTTTACCATAACATTCAGCAGAGGACATCACAATCCAAGATTCAATTCGTTCAAATGGCACATATTATCATTCATGTCTTATGGGACACAAAATTCCAACTTCAATTAGTTGAATTCATCTTCAGGCTTCTGCAATATTCCATACTCACCATCACACATGGTTGTATGCCATTTGTCCATAATAAAGCTCATAAAGTTTTTTTTCTCTACACTTACCCACTTACCCACTTACCCAATCACAATATAAAAGAACGAAATAAAAAAAAAACAAGAGATTACCTATTTTCACCCATTATGCTTTACCTATTATGTTTTACCTTTACAATTTCTATAAAAAGAAAAGAAATAGAAATAGAAGAACCCTACTGCACTGCTTTTAATTACAAGGGAGAATTCAAAATGTTCTTTCACAGCCTCATTTTATACAAAACTCCCTTCATTCCGTTGTTCGTTCAGGGTTAACTCGCAACTCACCAACTCGATGATAGTGTTATATCAACGGATACAAATCTTACACGGCATATCTTGCGCAGCAACCAATTAAGAAGAGAAGGTTGGGAAAATAACACCACCACCTATCAGGACAAAATCTTGCCTTATATATTTCACACAATTGGGGGGGGGAAGGGGTTACTCTTACCGACGATCGCGTCTGCGATCTCTGTCTCTGTCTCTACCTTTATATCTATCCTCGCGATGACTAGGAGGACTTCGCGATCGACTTCGAGCGCGACGTTTGTAATCACGGTCATATCCATAACTGTGTCTGCTGCTGCTGTTAGTGCCATTGTACCGCCCTCCATTATAACCAGAATGACCGTTCCCTCTTGAATGACCGCGATGTTCGCGCTCATAACCACCACTTGATGAGCTCACATGGGAATATGTGCCCTCACGACCAGAGTACTTTTGGTTCTGATCTGGACCACCAATTCGCGTGCCGCCTAATCCACCGCCTGAGAAAGCAAACAGAATGCATAAATAAAAACGTTTAAAGAGCAATGCTAGATATATATAAAACATGCATAAATTGACGTAATTACCAAGACGACGAGGTCTCCAACCCTTTACTGTCCGCCCACGCTCGACGTCAACAAGGATACGTTTTCCGACCAGTTTTAAACCATCAGCGTCCTTGTACGCAGCTAATTATCAAAATGTATTATTAATTGATAAAGAGATATTCAACAACATATCTTCTCATATTGACAATAATAAACAGAAACGTTACCTTTCATATCCTTTTCTCTTTCGAATTCAATGAAGGCATATCCTTTAGGTTCTCCGGTTACTTTACCCTTGACTATACGAATCTGTAATTCACATGATTAGAAAACTGTTGTGATGCCTAAAACTCGCAGCATAATGCACGAACTTACATTCTCTATTGGACCATACATTTCAAATTCTCGGCGCAAGTCCTTTTCAGTTATGTCATAGTTCTACGTTGACAATAATACCAGTGTAAACCGGGCGATGCAATAAACAAGCGATGACAAAAAAGAAGCGAGGTACACACCATTCTAGCTACAAACAAAGTTTTATACGGATCTCCGGTAACATTATCATCTTTACTCGGATCCCCTAAATGCAGAATGATTGTATTAATATTACTAGGCTTCCTTCCTCGTTCACGAGAAACAGACATCGCTTACATTCTTCGAGACCGTTCTTAATTGATTCCTCAACATGTCTCTTCTTCTCTTCAATCTATGAGAGCAGTGATAGAATCAATATCGTGCTGGACCTGGCTTAACAGCCATGCTAAATTAGTTCTTACCTTTCTTTTTTTTTTTTCTTCTACTGTTTCGGTTGGCACATAATCAGGATCATAGTCTTTCAATAAGGGTATGTATTGTCCAACACCTGTGATAAGAGGTCCCGCTCGTTTTGCTGGATCTCTGTCCAGTGGCTTCGAGTATGGAAGTGGTGGACGAGGTGCAAAGAGAGCAAGCAGGTTTGGTGGTAGCTTGTCCGTCATTTCAGCAATATAATATATATTAACAGTGTAGATGGGTTGTCGTTTCTCGGAGACTTGCTTTGCTTGAAGATTTGTTGTACGAAAAACGATAAAAGTTGGTAATTGGTTACCTATGAATGGGGGGTGAGGTGGCGATGACGTTACAATGATGTTCTTTCTATATTAATAATGTGCAGTGTGCCAAAAGTATTAGTCACTCATTGAAATTTACCAGTAAAACATGGTAAAAAACCTTTAATTTGTATTTTTCAAAAAAAAAAAATTCGATGGAGTGGCTACACGTATGAAACCGTGTGAAAATCATATGTGTAAGATAAATACGCTAAAATTAAAGGTTTTTACTATGTTTTACTAGTGAGTAAGTAATAAAGTCTATAATCAATCCGGTTTTGGACTTTATCCCGTAATAAGGTCGGTACGACATGCAATCACAGCAATACTGCGGTGGATATGGCAGCAGTATATAAATAGAAATGGTATAATCGAGGCACGATCATAATAGATTACAAATGAGGTAGATTTACACTGATATACAATAAGGGAAAGCCGAGGTTGGGATACAATAGGACTGTATAAATAAGAATTAGCATGTGAGAAAATAATACCTATAAAACATGTACTTTCATTTTTATGCTAAATATGTTATAAATTTTCGCTTCAAGCTATTGCTATATCTGATTACTATAATATTCTATTGTGACTATAAATATATTATTGATAAGCTTCCTGAAAGTTTAGTTAAAAAGACATTATTATTATAGACTTTTTCACAGCCTAGAAAAAATAGTGAGAGAAGCCCAACATAAGAGATTATTGCATCCATGAACCAGGCTATCCGACCATAACACATAGTGATATAGATATAACTTACTACCTGAATGGGGTTGAAAAACATTTGGTCTCTGGTTTCCTTTAGTTTGAATCTTGAGAGTATGATGTTAAACTTAATAAGTAGTAAGTAATACATAAAAAAATACAAATTAAGAAATCAAATCTGGATTTAGTTGAACCAACTATTACCAGTCTCCACCAGTCTGCTGTCTGAGGACCACCCAAAACTTGGTGGCTTACCTTTACAAACAGAAAGTTCCCCCCTGAGGGTTAAGTGAGGTCTTTCTACTTGCACTTCTGCCAACTGATCACCTGAGGTTAAACCAGTAAACAGGATTGTGTTGAAAAATCACTGTCTGAGGACAAGCATGGGCATGACATCTCTTCTTCACACTTCCAGGCATTATCCACCGTCTGAGGACTGCATGGATAATGTGGGTAAAAAAAAAATAGCAGGCCAAATATTTTCTAATCATCAAAAGTGGCTTATTGAAAATAAAAAAAAATAGAATAGCTATAGCAGGAATAGAAACTCAATATTTAAAAATATTAGATAAGCAACATTCATGAATAGAAAACAAGAGAAAAGGGTTAAATGACAATATTATAAAATAAATTGAATTGTCTTGAATTGACAGCTTCAGTAGTTGTTATGGATGATGGCAAGCATGACCATTACAGATGCTATCTATTAGACTAATATTAATAATAAATAATGACAGAATGATATATAAGTACCAGTGATAGATTCTAGTCAGCAAAAGGACAACATTACTATCTGATAATTGATAGTGGTAATGATAAAACATCCTCCATTCAATGTCTTCCTGATCCTATAAAATGAACACAAGTAATAATTTTGGTCCTGTAGTAAAATGGCGTGCATTAATGATGTAATGTGCATCTTTTCATAGATATTCATTAATAAACATAAACACGCAAGTGCTGACAGAAAATATAGTCAATAGAATCTCACGTTATCTTATCCTCTCTACTCACATGTTCGCTCAATCGCATTTAATCCTGCAAAATAAACAATAAAATCAGCCCGCATGTGCGCATTGTTCGGATTCGCAACAACAACTTTACACTGATCGATCAGATGCGAATTCCGTTTATAAATTTCAAATCTACAAGTAAACTCATCTGATAAACGTCCATTTTGTTTTTTATGCTGACCTCATATCACACAAATCTCCTGAGCGGGAATATTAATTTGCACGTTGATATTAGTATATATTTAACAACATTCATTGAGGATTCATAAAAATGGCACCTGTTCACTAGCTCACAGAATACAAATAGTAAATCAATCTAATGAACAAAAATTTGAAATGATATTTTGCGGTTAAGCTCAGGAAATGACCTCGTTGTTGTTAATGCGCGTGAAAGGATATGTATGATCCGTAGATAGTCATGCCCCTTTCCCCGTGATCAGTTTTGAAGTGCAGAAGTCAAATCATAAGAGGAGACGTGTGATGAGTGAGGAAGGAGAATACACCAAGGTTCCAGAAGGAGCACCAGCGTGGTGTGTTTATTAGTATACTCTTATAAGTATGAAACATTATACACTTAATTAGACAATCGACAATTACTAGCCACAAATTATTGCAATAAAGAAGATGTTTTAATCTAATAGCTACATGTGATGCAATTACCTTGACTAGCCTGGCGGTTTGCAGTAACGGTAACCTGCAGTTAATTGTATGTGGATCAGAAACAGTATCATTGTCACTATAGTCAATTAATCGAATGAGACGACGTCTATTAAGAAAAAGATTTGTTTGTAATACTGCAACACTGAAGTATTGGCATACAAATATCACAAACAATCCACTCATCTCATTAAGAATTAACGTAATATCTTTAACGTGTTTGAAAACTCCCTCTGTTTATTACCATCTTCCGTTCGAACTTTATATCATTAATTCTCTCAATCGCGTTTGAAGTCAGTCGTGCGTTTCTGCATTTGCACATCTCAAGTTCATAATTGGAAACGTCGTAATACAACTTAAATCTTGGGCTGAAAAATTATTGCTCGTTCCGTTTTTGTTTTTTCGTTATTTGTTTTTGTTTTTATTGGTAATTAATAATGTATAAACTTGTCCAGAATTGGGAATAAACAATTATCAATTTATACACTATCTAATTACGCCACGCACGCCATCAATGATGAACAAAAAAAAATGTATATAGATATGTCTTGTGTCGCTCAATATATACTACACCGAATTATTAAAGTGTAACATCATATGGGGCATGCTGCAACAAAACCAGACAAAGTGAACATTCTGTTATGTGACATAAATAAGAGGCGGATTATAATGTGGCTGTAAAACTGATCAGTATGACTGATGACGTTTTGAAAAGTAATAATGGTGTTTATGGGCTTGTTAATTTTAATGCTCACTTTATCATACCAGAATGTGATAAATATAAACCATAATGTGATTAATATAGGATTACCCCTATATAAAAAATATTATATGAAACTAATTTACATCAAATTCACAATGGAACCCAAGAATTACAGCACTATTAGAAGCATTTTAAAGAAAGCTCAAGGAGAAAAAATTGCTCCATACGTTTTTAAAATCAATGATGCCCAAACTCTCCAGGAATATCTAAATCAAGAAAAAATTACTTATGAAACTTACCAAGAAGAACAAAAAATAATAAACAATAAACGAGCATTAACCCTAACTAATAATGAACCAAGAAAGAAACGAAAACTTGAAGAAACGTAAGAAAATGAATTTGGCATAAAAAGTTCCCACCAACGCCTCCACTGATCGAGCGACTTGTCAACGAAAGATCTATAAGACTACTCGATCTTATTTCGCTACTTTGATACAACGCAATTAAAAAGTCAAGCAATGTAAAAATAATTCAATTTTTTCGTAAGCATAAATTTTATTATTTCGATTATTAAATGCGCGCACTTGAAATATAAATAATCTAAAAGCACCAGAGTGATTGCATGGGAGGAAAATACTCGGATCCAAAGCCATTAATGAGTATAACCTATTCTTTGGTCACTCTGGTGCAAATTTAAAATTCATTATCTTTTTTTACATCGCTACTATTAATAATATCGTCACTATCATCTATTTCTTTAATTTTAACTCCTTCAAAGTTTTATCCACATCTCAAATTATTTTGAGGGCACCAACAATAGGAACTACATAACTTAATAGGGTTAAAAAATGTTTATTTCAGAATGCCTCTATTAGCTTAGTTAAAATGCCAACTACTGCTAATAATCCAAATCTTTTTAAAGTTTCTTTAAAAAGTTCATTTACTTTTTGAGTTTTAGAGAGCAAAATTTTCTTTACTTTTTCGTCAATATTAGCATTTTCTATTTTAATACTTAATCTTTGTAATGGTGTTTTCAGTGAAGAAGTAATAACACCATCTAAATAAAATCCAATCCCAATAAATAAACTTACTAATATTATAGTAGTTAATTTTCAATCCACAATTCATCCACTAATCCTTGGTTCAACTCATTTAGTAATTGCTTCTTTAATCAAATAAAAACCAACTACATAAGCCCCAGTAGAAGCATACATATTTAACTGCCATTCTTTAAATATTGCCCGAATTTCAGCTAAATAGTTTTTAGTATCTTTTCTTTTCTTAGTTTTTGCTCTATAAACTTTTTTACCAATATAACCAGCAAAAATTAAAAAAGCAGGTCAGCCTATTCAGTGGTAAATAGTATTGAAATCGTATATGGTTTTGGGTGGTTTTTTTGTAGAAAATACTTATTTTCTAATTTTTCCGTTCTTTCTTTATTCTGTTCTAACTGATTCGAAAACTCACCCAAAACTTCAGCAGTATCCTCATCAATACCAAAGACCTCTCTAAGAACATCAGAGGGGGAAGCTTCATCAAAAAACAATTTCCACATAACCATTTTTGTTTTTCTTCCTCAGTTTCATATCCATATGTATGAAATGATGGAAAATCCCAAGTTTCTTTACATGATGAGCAAATCCTCACAGTTTTTTTGTTATCAGTCATTTTATGTATAGAGTGATGAATAAAAGAAAATCAGTTACTATAATAATAATAATATTATACAGATGATCGTATATAACTAATTATCTTATAAGTAATTTATAAGTAATTATTATTTATTTTCATTCAATTTTAAATTTAAGTGAAAAGACTATTTTTAGTCTAATTATTTTTGGTTGCTAGTATAAATTGGTTGTGGACAAGTAATATCTTTGAATTCGTCTCTAACAAATGGGCGGATATTATAATAAAGATATTCTTGCCTTTTGTAATCCAGAGGAGGAGGGGTTAATACTAAGATAGAAAAAGATTTAATTTCTTTGATAATTTCAGAAACACATGCTTTTCTGTTTTTAACAGATTAAATTCAGTATAAGCACCATTAGCAACCAGCTGAGCTTTGACAATTCCAGGTCTGACTGCTTCAAATACAAAATGCTGGTATTTTTGTAAGCCACTTAATTTTTTAAAGAAAATTCCTAACACAGAATTAAGATCTAAATATTGAAAGCCTTTGCCGTTTTCATAACACTGAGCTTTGTTTAATCCTGCTGTACTCGATTTTTTCACAACCTCAACAATATGATTCACACAATCTACGGTCGTTTTTCTATAGAGTTTTTTAATCAATCCAAAACTACCATCACACTTGAATTTAGTATGCCGGGTACCATAAAATTTAATTCAACACTTTTATAGTAACCACAAATTACTAAATATAAGTAAAATCATATAGTAGCACTATTTTTATTCTGTCCACCCGCGTTGTCACAAGTAATCTTTAAATATTTTTCACCTTTATTCAGTCTCTTAATCCCATCGAATACCATGCTCAGTGTGCCATTAGGACCTTTACCGATAATTTCGCCTTCATCAAGAACGTAATTAATTTGTTCGCATACTGCTTCATCTTGAATACCAAATAAATGTACTTTACGCGAACTGAGATAGTAAATTTTACTTACCTGTTGATCGGAATGGGGTACGTGAACGTTTTGCGCTCAATCGTAACTGTAATAAGCAGTCGCGTCAACGCTACAATAATCAGTTTTACCTCTTATTATAAATTGTTCATCTACTAATTTTCTTTGTTCTTCTGCTAATTTCGTATTTTTGTTGTAATAATTTCTCTCTAACTTAGTTTTAACTAGATGTTCTTTGAATTTTTTCAATAAATCTTTCGCTTCTTCTTCCTTGCGAGCATTGTATTGTAAGCCGTTCCGAAAATGTTGGCACGTGTCACATAAATCCGTTCTTGGACTCATGATTTGAATATAAGGCGTTAATTGGTGCCATAACCTACGGAACGCATCATACTTTAACAATTTCAACGCGCTATCGTTTTCGAGACCCGCAATAAAATCACGATAGACTGATTTGTAACTCGTTTCGGCTGGCAATAGTGTAAGCGATTGAGTAATGCGATTGACATTTCTCCCGGGACTTGGTAATCCATGAATTTCAGCATAGTTTTCAAGGAAATTTCTTCACCGCAGTAGTGACTGTTATATCAATAGTTATTTTGGTTTTCCATCGTGGCATTCGTTTTATGTTACCATGAATGCGTGGTATTATACCATTCGTCGCTAGGTGATTTCTGACGTTTTCCAAATGAGTGCGGCCAATTCCTAACATATTTAGATACGTTTTCTGACAGAGAGGCGTATTGCGATCTCAATAATAAAAAGTTCTTTTATTAGTACGCGTTTTCTTTTTAAGACGTCGACTGGCAGTTATTTCTCCGCCATTCATTGCTTTTAGCTGGGCCATTATAAATATGTCTTGCTCGGATCGAGAAAGGGCTTGAAACGCTTCACGTAATTCGGCAAACCCTTCTCTCGAAATCGTTTTTGAGCAACCACATTTGCAACCTATCTCCAAGAAACGTATTGCTTTTTCGTATTCAGTTGAACCATTATAATTAATATTATTCATATACGGGTAATCCTATATATATTTTTAGTACTTTTTCTTTTTTGCGATACTTCAGACTTTCAATAATGAATATGCAAGATTTAACGTATAGGAATGGCAGAAGGAAAAACTAAGATTTTGGCACATGAAAGTCAGATAACTAAATTTGCTGGTTTAACGAGCTGTACTTTTGTTTTCAAATCAAGTCTGTATTTAAGAGAATGGCTCATATTATAGTCACTATTTCTATTTCAAATTCAAAATTTTTTTGTAAAGGATGCAAAGATGTGAACATATGACACTATTGTTGCATCATGATATGTATTACTTAGCATGCAATGTTTATCCTAAGATAACTTTATTAAGAAACTAGCCATTTGCATAGTTATGCCAGTGGTTGGAGCAATTATGTTATGCACATTTTCGTTTTTATGTCATTAAGCAGCAAGTGATGTCTTAGTAAAAGTGTTGTGTTTTGGACTAGAAACTAAAGAGGTTGAACCATTTAACATTTCTGTCAGTCGTCAATAAGAAATCACTGAGATATCCAACTCAGTGTACAAATCTCCACTTCCACACAGCCGAACCTTCTCCCAAATACTATTAATACATATTTCCACACTGGAAAAATCCTGTGAACACACAACATAAATTACACCTGATTTCAGGTTGTGGGGTCTACCCACACCACTTCTAATATCCACAATTGCATGATGCTTAGCACATTTCAGAATTGAACCATATAGCCCATCCTGCTTCATCTTCTCTCGATGCTTTTCCAGATCTTCACCATCTCGAACTAGCTCTATCATCCAATCATGTTCATCATCAATGTAGAAATCCACCCAGCCCTCTGAAGCAAAAACGGCACCAACATCTGGAGAAATATGTACATCCTTTAGAAGCAGTTTCCTTGCTGCATGGTAAAACTCCATTTGCCACACTCTCTCCAGTAGTCGACCATCATGACCCACACAAAGGGTTTTTTTGAAAGAATTTGGTAAAGTGTGTACATGAGTTCTAGATCCAAGACGTTCCTGAAGATAAGCTGCATGAACTAGTGGTGATGTGAAGTCAAGTTTCCTGTTTCTCAACTGATATCCTTGATGGAAGTCTGAAAGAACATTTGTTTTGATCAGACAGTCTGCAACTGCACTGTGAGTGTCAATACCACCAGGTTTGAACAACACTCTGTCAATAAGTTGTCGTTCTTCTTCAGATATCACTATGACTTCATGACATGCTCGTGTCTGCTATAATAATAAGAAGTTAATATCTCTAAAATCGTAAACTATTAATTTTCGATCATTGCTCACCTTAACGCCTCAATAGAAATCATCTGTCTGAAAAAATTTGAATATTTTCTCAAATGTCAATGGTTCCACACCCTGGTTTAGCTGCTGTCGAAATTGTAAAACAATATCATTCAGAACAAAAGAGACAAGTCCAGGATGGCACTTGGTTGCCTCTTTCACATAGTTGGCAAGTCGAGGGAAATCCCCTTCAGGAACCAGTTCCAGATTGGAGCAACAAAAAACATCAAAGAAATCTGCATACTCTTTCTTGTTCAGTATACCGAATGTCTTCAAAATTCCAAGTATTAATTTTGTCTAAGTCAAAAGGAGATATAGTTTTAAGATAGCCTGGTCCACTATATGCTCCATGATATCCATAGGATGCAAAGGCAATGATGTGGAGACCACCACCCTGTAGAACTCACTTGACTGTGTCCCAAAACCTGTCACCACCAAATAAACGGGTTGATACACTTTATATTTTTATATAGAGGCAATCCTATATTAATCATGTTGTGGTTTTTATTCCTCACATTCTGGTATGATAAAGTGAGCATTAAAATTAACAAGTTTGTAAATTATGAACAAGCACCATTATTACTTTTCAAAATGTCATCAGTCACATTGGTCAATTTTACAGCCACATCATAATCAGCCTCTCATTTATGTTACATAATAGAATGTTCACTTTGTCCATATTATATTAGCATGTGAGGAATAGCGACGGACGTGAAAAATCTTGATATTTAACTGTTCGAAGGAAGGACTGATATACTGTATAAAGTGTAATGACTTTTCACTATAGTATGTATTGTACCACATGGCATTATTTCACGCATGCGAACATGAACATCTATGTATTGCACTCTGTCACAATACCTGACAGTAGTAATTGCTTTTGTTTCTTACTGCTCCTTGTTCATGTCTGATGCATGGATAGAATAATATGAAGTGAGTCTTATCATCCATCAATGTTCACAAAGATCAACCAATCAGAATGCTTGTAATCATCCCCAATTTAGTAAATGTTACACAATTATCGGTATAAAGCGGGGGAGATTTAATAGTAAGTATCGGTACAAAGGTTATAGCGGGGTTTATTATAATTTATCGGAAAAATTTCTATCTAAATTTTGGGAGCGGCGTTTTCCATCGTTATATGGAGGTTATTGGTACAACGGGTATGGATTTATTTTCAAAGTTAAACACTGGTGTAAACGGCGAAATATTCATGTGACTTTGTGCTACCAAAATTAGTGCTCAAAACGCTGAAATACGACTGCTCCCCGAGCATGGTCCTAAATAAATAATTTCTAACTCCTGAAATCGACGACGATACCTCGGTATATGAAATCTAATGCATAACGAAACCTTGTTAGACTTTCGTCATAAAACTCGGTTAACTTATCGCAAGCGATTCAATACTGAAAACGATCAGTTCGAATGAAAGGATAATAAATGCAAAATCGGTCTTAAGTCTCCTGAAACGACTATCGTGAAGAAGGAGCAGAATGTTAAACGTAGCGATACGGAAGCTGGTTAACTATAAGACTTCCGCTACGATAATATGATTAAGAATAAAGTAAAAGCGTTCGTACTTGAATACGTTCGTTTGGACATACGTGATATAGACAATATTCTCCAGGTAAGCATCAGCGCTCGTGATCTTGATGTATACAAGTGCAATAATAATTATTTTTATCTTACAGAAGACTCAAGTTGATTTTGAGCAGGCAATCCAATAGCAACTGAACATGAGAGCCTCTTCCGATTATATTGCAAGAAAGTTCTGCTCGACTTGTAAGCTTATTGTTACTTGCATCAAGTGCCAGCTAAATAGAAATTACAACATTTCTTTCTTCTTCCCCCCCCCCCCCCACAAAACAAAAGCTACCATCTCGTGGACACTCATCCAAACATGATCACGTCGGATTAGTGAACGAAAATACATCATATATCATATTGCGTCCCTTTTCAAGTTTTATGAAACCACATTTGGGACAGTCAATTTTGAATGGGTTGAGATGCATGCCGCAAAGATATTGAAATCGTCGACTAATTCAGGAATTGTACTGGTCGATGCTAAAGCGACGAGAATTTCCGACAGTTTGGATGTTTGGCATATCCTGATATGGAGGTTGCCAGGCCCCCTTGGAATGCACTAACATACATACTGTGGAGACACAAAGAAGACTTTACGCACAGATGTTGTTGTGAACGGCAAAATGATCGTTATTCGTGCTGTGTTCGATTTATTTAGTAGATTTCATGTAGATTATTTTGCAGTTCTAGTATCCGATTTATTATTATATTTTATTGGATATAAAATACTGCGGTAGTTAGAAATTAGTTATCCCCTTAAACTGTTTTGCAGGCAAATTTGCCTGCAAAATCGTGATTTTGACAATTTTCCATCAGTATGCAAAATTTTATTAAGTATAAGCCCCCAAAAGGGGGGTTCGACAAAACCTAAATAATAATCGTGTAACAGAGATATCATCTATTGCTCGCGGAATTCACTCCGATCTGTTTCTAATAAAATATTCCCTAATTACAAGCGTTGCATACCCACACCTGTTTGCCGTATGATTAAACCGAGTTTATTCAAAATGTCTACCCGCGTTAACCCTAGCCCTAGCTCTAGTATTAGCTCTAAAATTTCTTTATCAGATTCCAACTACGCTGTCTCATTTGAGCGCAATAATCACGGTGAGATCTTTATTGATAATATGTTAGCGGAAATGATCGAAAATATGTACGCTACAGATATTTTTGCAGACGAAGACATGAGAGATGAAAGTGAACAAGAAATACATGTTATTCAAACTGATTCAGAAGAAATAACTGTAAGGGCATGAGTAATAGAGGGAGAATAGGGAGAAGGGGAAATGTAAGAATAGGGAAGAGGAGGAAGAGGAGAATGAAGGAACACATGAGAGCATTTCAACTCGATTAAGACTTAGAGATAGAGAGAGGGGTAGGGAAAAGGGTAAAGAAAGGGAAAACACAAGCATTATATTGCAACAAATTGCAAGTCTACCACTTCCAATATTAATGTTCTGACCCAAATTGCAACCTGACCCAATTCGAAATCGGGTCGACCCAAATTGCAATTTGATTTGGGTTGGACCAAATCAAAATAAGCTCAGTGTGATATTTATTCGACATAATCACATAATTTATGCA